CCAAAGAGAATTCATTACAGTCTAATAGTATTTTCCTAGAAAAATTCAATGATTATTTAAAAACAGTAGTTGAGCTAGGACATTTTATTTCTACATCTTATATTTAAATGTATGTATTAAACCTTTAAGTATGGTTGTTTTACATATAGAATATGAATGAGAGAATAATGTAATGAAAGTTTCTCATTTATTTTTGATAACACAACTATGTTTTTTGTTATAGTTTTCTGTCTATCCTTTTTTGGGCATTTATTTTGAAATAGTCACAATAAAGAAAGTAACATTTAATTTTCAATGATTCCACAAGTCTTATGAAAAGCCTCAAATAACAATGACCTGTCTGAGCTAACATATCAAAATAATTCCATTGGTAAGCAATTTTAATGAGAAAATATTACAATAGTACCATTTCTGTATATTACTCAATAAGACAATCTCAATTTTGGTTTTGGAGGATAAAAAGTTTGACACTTTAAAAATCGTATAAATAAAATGGCTTAAACTAATTACAATGATAGGAGTATATGTTATAAAGGAAAACCTCTATTATAAGTAATTGAGGTAGTTTTGTCACCTTCAGTAAACTTCCCATCCTCACATTAACTTATAATTGTAATTTAGAAAATAAAAGATTTTTTTCATATGGTTTTACCACTTATACCTTATGTACCTGTGAAACAGAAAATGGAGGCTAATTTTTGCATTGTAGCACAGTTGAATAGGTTGAATTACCTTCTTGAATTTATTATGCTCTAATCTGCAATTTGAATTAGTGGTCTAATTTTAAGTGGCAACATAATTATCATTTTTTTCTATTGTATGTTATATAATAGCATTCCTGAGTATGGACTTTGGTAGGAGATATCTTGATTCAAAATCCAACTGCATACTTTCAAATGATTTATTTTTTTATTTTTTATTTTGCTATTTGGGTCACAGCCATGGTGCACAGGGATTCCTCCTGGCTCTGTACTCAGGAATTACCCCTGGCGGTGCTCAGGGGACCATATGGGATGCTGGGAATTGAGCCCGGGTCGGCAGCGTGGAAGGCAAACCCCCTATCCTCTTTACTATTGCTCCAGCCCCAATACTTTCAACTTAAACTTTCTGTTAAAACCTTACATTTTCATTCTCTTTTTATGAGATGCACACATTGAGGAAAAGGGAATGACTCTCAAAGTTATATAATGAGTCTTTCGTAATCTTCTTCGTGTCATTTGTTTTAGAATATAGGTGCAGTGTAACTTTAAAATTATTTATGAGTTACTTTTGTTCCTTTTATAACTTCTAGTTTGATTTGGAAAGCAAAGTCTGATCTTCATTTCTCTCTTATTCTTTTATCCTATCTGGTTTGGTAGCAATAATGCAATCCAAAACCAAGTTTTTGGAATTGTTTGAAATTGTTTCTTGCACTACTTAGTACAATTGTAGAATCAAAACAAAACAAAACAAATCCCCCCAAACAATGAATGCCTGGCAAAAGAGAAGCAAATCAAGAAGTTGTTGAGATAGACACCTAATTCAATACCATACAGTTTTAAGAAGAACTGAAATCATGCAGTTTCTGCAACCTGGAGGAAACTTGAATGTAAGTCAACGTAATCAGTCTACAAGCCATGGAGCAAAATTCCTAGTACTAATCTCGGCCATTCTTGGGTGTTAGTCTCCTATTTTGTTTACTTCATGTTCCCCAGATGAATGCAATCTTTCTATGGCTATCCCTCTCTTTCAGCCACACATGCTAGGGGAAAAGACAGCTCAAATAGAGAAGGGAACACCATATAAAGGGTGTTGGGAGGATCATCCCAGGATGGGTGAAGCATGCTGAAAGTAGACTATAGACCAAACATGATTGCCACTCAATGCCTCTTTTGCAAACTGCAACACCCAAAAGGAGAGAGAACAAAAGGGAATGCTCTGCCACAGAAGGCAGGGAGGGATGGGGGAGACGGGGGTGGGAGGGATACTGGGATCCGTGGTGGTGGAAAATGGGCACTGGTGGAGGAATGGGTATTTGATCATTGCATAATTGAAACCCAAGCACAAAATATGTAAGTCTACAACTGTACTTCATGCTGTCTCACTAATAAAAATTTTAAAAAAATTAAAATTAATCAAGAAAAAAATAAGTTATCCGTCTAAGTCAGAGAGGACAAATTCATTGTGATATCATTGACTTTTAATGAGAGAAAGACAAAACAAGGAAACGAGTATTTTATTTTTAAGGTGTAAGTTAATGTTTCATAAGTGACTTCCTTTGCCTCCATAGTTATCTTAATATTTGTGTATAAAAACAGATATTCCATTCTCTCCTTAGTATTTATCATTTTGGACAATGAATCATCATTGTGGTATTTTATAGAGTAAATAAATCTATTTCAAAGTCACTGAATTGGCAAAGAAAAAAAGCACAGAAACGCATGTTTTACCTAAAGAAAAATATAGTAGTAAATAATGGCTCAGTGAAATGCTTTGATACTCTGATTGTGAAATATTGATACTACTATTGATTCAATGAACTGCCTGTGTACTTTGATAGTGAATTATTAATACCAGATTTTTGCTTGTTCTATAGTTTTATTTCTCCCAGTACTTCAGAGTTTCTCATGGAGGAAGATATAGATTTACATGTGAAGACAGGACATACTTTATTTTCAAGTCTCCTACCAACACTACTAAGGGTTGCCCAAATGTTGTAACACACACACACAAATGTTGTTAGTGAATATATAGAAATTTAAATCACAAAAAGCATCTTGTAAGAACAGATTGGTATGAAATAAAAATCAAACCAAAAACACTGGGTAAAATGTTACTGAATGTATTCTGGGTAAAAAAGGAATTCAGAGGTATGAAAAATTACTTGGAAATTAATGTAAATAAAGACATACATTTTCAGAATCTGTAGTATACAGCAAAAGCAGTACTAAGAAAAGTACATAGATATATATCAATAGATGCCCTCCAAATAATACAGATTATTAAATAAGGCCTTATTCTATCCAAAGAGAAAAAAATGAAATATCAAAACCAAAAGTCAGTAAACAATAGGAAACAATAAAAGAGAATAAAAGTTAGATAAATAGGCATTGATATGGCAATCTAAATTATTAACAAAAAACATTTTTAAAATCGTTAACCAATAGCAAAACTTTATCCAGACTCACATAGCAGAACAGAAAAAAAGTGAATAAAACAAGAAACAAAATATGAAGTTACAACATATGAAGTCACAACAGATACTACAGAAATGCAAATTTGTACTATCAAAGTTATGTCTCAATGAGGACAGCATAGAAATAATAGAAACATGCAATGTTCTAAGGAGTTAACCAGGAAAAAATAATAAACCCAAAGTACCCCTTAGTGATTAATATAATTGAAAGAGAAATTGAAATCATTCACAAAACAAAAGCATCAAAAACAATGGCTTAATTGGCATATAAATGTATATATATGTATACATATATATGAATATATATATATAAAACTACAGTACAAAATTATAGGACAATAACAGATGAGCTACATACTGTAGCTCTATAGCACTGTCCTCCCGTTGTTCATAGATTTGCTCGAGCGGGCCCTGTAACATCTCCATTGTGAGACTTGTGTTACTGTGTTTTCATTTCATTTCATCATCCTGTTATTCGTCGATTGCCTCAAGCAGGCCCCAGTAACGTCTCTTTCATCCTAGCCCTGAGATTATATTCAAGGCTCTTTAGGAGAATGAGACCCATCATTGTTACTGGTATTTGACATATTGGGTACGCCACGGGGAGTTTGCCAGACTCTGCCGTGTGGGCAGGCTACATTCGGTAGCCTGCCAGTTTGTCCAAAGTAGGAATGAGATAATAAGATGTCATAAAAAGATGTCCTGATAAAATGTCCTGGAGCTGGATTTTATAGTCTTTGAGTTTTGGCCGTTGATGGGATTACATGGCGCCAGGGGGCCAGGTGGTGGGTGTGACGCCCACCTACTGGAATTTGGAGGATCTGGGTGGAAGATGCTCGACTCCAATTCGAGTAGGCTTGGAGATCTCGGCCCCGGAACCCGCGTGACTTTGTCCCTCTGCCAGTACCTTCATGTGTGCGGAGAGTGGTCTCAGCATGGTGGTGGCTGGTCCTGGAGGTCTTTGGCTGCCGGAGCCCTGGTCGGGGCGGGGAGGAAAGCTCAACCCGCTCCCCTACAAGGGGCCTCGGCGAGGAACAGCCAGGCGCGGGGGCAGAAGACTGCACTGTTCTCGTCCAGGAGCTGGATTTTATAGTCTCTGAGTCTTGGCCGTTGATGGGATTACAGGGCGCCAGGGGGCCAGGTGGTGGGTGTGACCCCCGCCTACTGGAATTTGGAGGATCTGGGTGGAAGATGCTCGACTACTGTGTTTTGGCATATTGAATATGTCACAGGTAGCTTGCCAAGCTTTGCCATGCAGGCAAGATACTCTCGGTTGCTTGCCAGGCTCTCCAAGAGGGGTGAAGAAATCAAACTTGGGTTGGCTGGGCCGGCCACATGCAAGGCAAATGCCCTATCGCTGTGCCATCACTTCATACAACAAAATTAAATTTCCTATACGTAATATCAAATTATTAGTTACCAGAATAAAATTCAGTAAAGAGGATGAGAAAAGTGAGTGTCCAAGAGATTATACAGTAGGTAGGGTGATTTCCTTGCATGTGACCAATTATGGTGTAAATTCTCTTACTACATACGGTTTTTTGAGCACACCAGGAATGATCCCCTAGAACAGATTCAGAAGTAAGCCAGAAGCCAGAAGCACTGTCAGGTGTGAATCCAAAACAAAAAAAACATCAAAAAGAGGATGGATAAATTGAAATGATAATGGTCACTTTGGTATACATTATACGCCTATCTATTTTCAGTGTTTTACTACAGAAATTTAAATATCAGTAAAATGTTTAAAAGGCTGATTTAAAAATAAACAAATACTAAAAATGTAATAACTGGATATTTCTTTAATCTCATATCTTGTTTTTGATAGGCAACCCGTTGTTAACTAGCCAAGTCAACATATTGATTAATGTCCTAGATGTCAATGAATTTCCTCCAGAGTTATCTGTGCCATACGAGACAGCTGTATGTGAAAATGCCAAAGTAGGACAGGTATTTATCCATATTGTTAATGAAGAACACATTTACATCTACTATGTGCATGCGTTTTATGTTACACAACCAATCATTTATATATTTCTAGATAAGTGAAATGTCTTCAAATATTAAACGATATACATATTAAGTTCCCATTAATAAATTACAGATGTTTAATATGAAAGTAATCCACAAGGGAAAAAATGATGGAAAGAGTTGATGCCTTTGTATTACGAAAAGGTCTGGGAATTGTACATTGATTTTTCTCTACTCCTTTTCTGTGGCATTTCTAAAAAACTTAGAACAATAAGATCAGTAAATAAATTTCCTTAGATTACATTATTCTGGAATACTTGTTAATTTTCTCAAATGCATTTACGAAGGGGTACAAAAAAGGTTTGTAGTCCATTAAAATATACATATAGCTTGCCTCTGTGTTGAATTTGAATAAAACATCTGAAAAAATCAAAGATATGAATTTATTTTTTTATTGACTTGTTGCTCACTATTTCTTTGGAGGGAGGTCTTAATATGTCATAGAGAACCACATTTTTGTAGACGTTGATGTTAAAATTCTAGATTTTATACAGGTATTGCATGGCAGAGTGAAAGAATATTACAATATAACAACACAATGTTCCAATACATTTTGAACAAGGCGTAAGAAAATGATGATACTATGTCATAAAACAACAATATCATTATCAATCTTGTTGATGTGTATCTCAATGAAAATATACTAGAATATATTTGGTTTCTAATAGATTTCAGTCATCTTTAAGCACAAAAGTACTGATTCAAAGTTTCAAATTTGGTGTTTAGATTCTTGAGAAAAAAATTATTTTGAGATAATCATTTTTTAAAATGTTATACTTTATGCTTTATATTTAGACCAATTTAAATGTTTTTCATTGCTTTTCAAACTCTCATCACATAATTGTGATTATATTATAGTCATTAGCATATAACCACTGAATTAAAATTTAATAAAATAATAGTATTCTCATTCGTATTATCCATACCTCTGGTATTCATAGCTAAATGTGGTGATTGGCTGTCATTTTTTGTCAAAATTAATAAAGAATATGTCCATCAGTAAGGATTTTTTTTGGCACTATATCTTTATCATGCTTCAATATTATTTTATTTTTTTTTTTTGCTTTTTGGGTCACACCCAGCTATGCTGAGGGGTTGTTCCTGGCTCTGCATTCAGGAATTATTCCTGGCGGTGCTTGGGGGACCATATGGGATGCCACGGATTGAACCCAGGTCGGCTGCGTGCAAGGCAAACGCCTTACCCACTGTGCTATCACTCCGGCCTCTCAATATTATTTTTTAAAAAATTGCATAAATTTAATGCATAAATTTATTCATATTTTCCTAACATAAACACATATTTTTTATTTGTAACTGTAGCACTGTAGCACTGTCCTCCCCTTGATCATCGATTTCCTCGAATGGGCATAAGTAACATCTCCATTGTGAGACTTGTTACTGTTTTTGGCATATCGAATACTTCATGGTTAGCTTGCCAGGCTTTACCCTGTGGGTGCGATACTCTTGTTAGTGTGCCGGGCAGAAGAGTTGAACTGGGGTCGGCCCGGGTTGGCTGTGTGCAAGGTAAACGTCTTGCCACAGTGCTATCTCTCCGCCCCTTTAATTTGCAAAAATATAGAAATTGATTTAAACCAAATTTTAAGGTATTCATTGTCACTGTCACTGTCCTCCCATTGTTCATCGATTTGCTCGAGCAGGCCCAGTAACATTGTGAGACTTGTTACTGTGTTTGGCATATCAAATATGTCACAGATAGCTTGCAAATATAACTATTATTTACATAGTATAAGGTCAGTGACAGCATAAGTTAGTGAAGAAGTAAATGCTACATAAATCCTAACAGAAATGAATATCCTGAGAGAGTTATTTGGAAATAGAAAGAATTAAAAATTTCAAAAGTCAACTATTTTTTTAAAATTTACGTGATCTTCCACTTAACTCGCCAAATTACTTAATTTAAAAGTTAATTTAGGAAACTTTTTTTCATGTCAATTAGAAGAGTTACATGCACTATATAAAATATTTCTGGAAACTGAGCTCTATCTAATGCTCTTATGCGTGTCTAGTAAATTAAAGAGTTAAAAAGTTTGGGACAATATAAGTTATTGGAGGTATCTATAATTTATTTTAAAGTTAAAGGGTCTTTGAAGGTTTATTTCCTAATTAAATATTTTTCAAGCTCCTTGTGTTCTACTGGGCCAACTTTCTATACAAAACATAACCCTAACTTGTCTCTAAACTTTCAGAAATATTTAGGAGTAATTCTCCTATGACCTAAGTGATTCTCTTTGTTATGTTGAAATTTTATAACTTATCTATACCAGACTATTATTTATGTATGAACACATGTCTATGCACTCTCCAAAAACAAGATACTGAATGATTTATACTATATAAATCAAGAAATATTCATATATTGAATTGATTAAAAAAATGAGAGTTTTTCTATTTTTACCTAAAGGCACAAAATCCCAAGGTACTATTTTAGGTTCTAGATAGTTTATACTAGAATTATCACCATTGCATGTTATTTAAAGCTATTTTCTTTATTTGAAAATTGTGTTCTTCATATGCTTTGACATTAGATACCTTTAATTTATCAAATGCATATGCTAACTAATGAGATTTTATAAGAAA